TGTAGAAACGTTTCGTCTCTCATCCGAGAGACTTCCTCAGTCTGAGGTGCTGTTTTCAGCTCAGTCTCTTAAATAGCACCTTCTCAGAGTGGATCAACCAGTTTGCTGCTGACAACCAAAACCAGCTGATCACATGCTCAAGAAGGACCATCAGCCTAACAATGGATCATTAGCACACTGATGGCTGTTTACTATTCACAGAGGGCTGAGTGATACTAGCAATCACAGCATTGTAAGAGGGGGACAGTTGAGCACGGAGGCATTCACCCCTGTTTAATGATGGATGATTTCTTTTCACATCCATAATTAAACAAGGGTGGAGGCCTCCGTGTTCAACTGTCCCCCTTTTACAATGCTGTTATTGCTAGTATCACTCAGCCCCCTGTGAATAGTAAACAGCCATAGGGGTAATGATCCATTGTTAGGCTGATGGTCCTTCTTGATCATGTGATCAGCTGGTTTTGGTTGTCAGCAGCAAACTGGTTGATCCGCTCTGAGAAGGTGCTATTTAAGAGACTGAGCTGAATACAGCACCTCAGATTGAGGAAGTCTTGCGGATGAAAGATGAAACGTTTCTACAATTTTTGTTGTTGTTTTGCTTTGTTTTGTTTTTTGACTGTCCAGAGGACCAGATTGAACTTTTTTAGATTGCTGATATATGCTTCTATACAAATAAATATCAACCAAGATGGTGGCGCGTGAACAACACAAGGCTCAGCATATCTCCAGAACATGCTATTTAGTGATTTTCTATCTACTTTTGACTGGACTAGTCATCCAGAATTTCTCAGCGTTGCTGTTTTACAGCAAAGAGCTTCTGGACATTTGGACTCAAAACTCCAACAATAGTTTTATTGCCAATCTCCGACTCATTTCAGAGATCTCCAGAACACTGCAGGCTGCTCACTCTTCTCGGCTGGGGGTAAGTACAGACGGCGCTGAGAACGTAAACAAAGGCGGGGTAGAAGCGGAGGGCTACAAGCTAAGCTAAAACTTACACCACACCGGCTGCCCTTACCCAGCATTTTCCTCACCAATGTTCATTCTCTGGCAAAAAAATTTTTTCATTTACCCTTTATTTATACAGGTAGTATCATTGAGCCACGAGAACTCATTTTCAAGAGAGGCCTGTTTAGGGAACAGATGGGGGTTCAGGGTCTTGCTCAAGGGCCCAGAGTGTGGTGAATGAGGGTGGGGGCAGGTGTGGATGCTTCATCTACCCCATCCACATTTTTTTGATGTTGTCGGTACTGGGGCTTGAACTGGCGATCTTCCGATCACAGGCCCACCTTCTCTAACCTCTGCGCCACCACTCCCCTTAAATGCGGCTCTTCATCACCAACAGATGGATTATGGATTCCATTGTCATGATTGTCACTGAAACATGGTTAAACAACGGCTGTCTGGACAATGCTATTGCGTTAGAAGGACGCCACACACACCAAGCCGACAGAATAGCTGAGGACTCAGGCAAGACCAGAGGTGGATGTTTGTGCATTTATATTAACAAAGCTTTGTGCAAAAATTCTGCTACTACTGAGAGACAATGCTCACCTAATGTGGAGTTTATAATGGTCAAATGTAGACCTTATTACCTCCCCAGAGAACTCACTTCCAGCATACTCACTGCAGTGTATATCCGCCCGTATGCTAATTCTAAGCTGGCTATGAAAGAAATGTATGCAGCCATTAGCAAACACCAGCCCAAACACCCTGAAGCTGCTTCTATTGTTGCTGGTGACTTTAACCACTCCAACTTGAAGACAGTCCTCCCCAGATTCCACCAAAATGTCTCCTGCCACACCAGAGGGGACAAGACTTTGGACCATGTTTACGCCAACCTGGCTGGAGCATACAAAGCAACACCCCTCCGCCACATTGGACAATCAGACCATCTCTCCATTTTCCTCACACCTCGATACTCACCATTCATCCGACGTGTGAAACCCACTGTGAGGACAATAAAAGTGTGGCCAGAGGGGACAAACGCTGTGCTACCGGTTCAGAAACACTGATTGGAAGATGTTCACTCACACAGACTTGGAACAGTATGCCTCATCCGTACTGGACCACATCTCCACCAATATAGACAGTGTCACCACCCAGAAAAAGATCATCATGTACCCCAACCAGAAGCCTTGGATGAATCGGGACGTCCGTCTCCTGCCGACTGCCTGCAACATCGCCTTCAGGTCAGGGGAAGCACAGGTCTACAGTACAGCCAGGGCTGAGCTGAAGAGGTGCATCAAAAAGGCCAAACACCACTACAACGGGAGAATAGAAGAACGCTTCTCCAATGCCAACCCCTGACGTATGTGGCAAGGACTCCAGATCATGACAAACTATAGGGCCATCAATCCCTTCCCCGTCTCCCCTGATGTCCCCTTCCTCAATGAGCTCAACAATTTTCATGCTCGTTTTGAGAGAGGGAACCTAACAACTGCAACCAAGGTAGATGTGTCTCCAAACCACCAACCACTGACTCTTTTCCCCACCTATGTAGGAGCAGCGCTGGGCAGGATTAAAGTCCATAAGGCTGCGGGTCCTGATGGCATCCATGGACATGTTCTTAGAGCATGTTCTGGAGAGCTGGCAGGAATACTGATGGACATATTCAACCTGTCCTTGGCCCATGATGTGGTACTGACCTGCTTCAAAACCACCTCCATTGTCCCCATACCCAAAAACTCCAAACCATCAAGACGCAATGACTACCGTCCAGTAGCCCTCACCTCCATCATTACAAAGTGTTTTGAGCATCTGGTTCTAATACACCTCAAATCCTGTCTCCCCTCCCCCCCACCCTGGACCCCCACCAATTTGCAAACCACCAGAACAGGAGCACAGAGGATCCAGTCTCCATAGCGCTGCACTCTGTCCTCTCACACTTGACAATAAAAACACCTCCGCCCAGATGCTGTTCATAAATTTCAGTTCAGCATTCAACAAAGTTATCCCCTCAAAACTCATTACAAAACTCACAAACTTAGGCATCAGTTTCCTCATGTGCAACAGGTTATTGGATTTTCTGATTAACCGACCCCAACATGTCTGGCTGGATAACCACTGCTCATCTACTATCACAATAAACACCGGTGTACCACAAGGCTGTGTGATGAGTCCCTTCCTCTACTCCCTCCTCACCCATGACTGCAAACCTGTCAATAGTTCCAATAACATCATTACGTTTGCAGATGACACCATGGTGATCAAACTCATCAAAGACAACGATGAGACCGCTTATAGGGAGGAGGTAGTTCGTCTGGCTGAATGGTGTGACACCAACAACCTGCTACTCAACACTGCATAGACTAAGGAGCTTATCATGGACTTCAGGAGGAACGCTGACCCACATGCACCCATTTACATCAAGGGGACGGTGGTGCAGCGTGTGAACAACTTCAAGTTCCTGGGTGTCCACATCTCCGAGCATCTCACCTGGACGACCGGCTGTTCCAAGCTGGTCAAGAAGGCTCACCAGCACCTTTTCTTTCTGAGGACTCTGAGGAAGAACCACCTGTCCTCAGACATCCTGGTGAACTTTTACCGCTGCACCATTGAGAGCATCCTGACCAACTGTATCACAGTCTGGTATGGGAGCTGCTCTGCCTCAGATCAGAAGGTGCTGCAGAGGGTGGTGAAAGCCACCCAGTGCAACACCAGAGCACCACTTTCTGCCATAGAGGACATCCACAGGAAGCAGTGTCTGAAAAGGGCTGGAAAAATCATCAGACTCCAGTCACTAAGCACAAAGATTCGTAACCCTCCTGTCCTCTGGGAGGCGCTACAGGAGTCTCCAGTCTAAGACCACCAGGTACGAGAACAGCTTCTTCCCCACAGCTGTCACACTCCTGAACTCTGCCTCCTGACATCTGAACAACGACGGTCTGTATTCTCATACACACAACAATAACAAATGGACTGAAACACCACCATCCATCCATCCATCCATCCATCCATTTTCTCCCGCTTCTCCATGGTCGGGTCGCGGGGGTAGCAGCCTAAGTAGGGAGGCCCAGACTTCCCTCTCCCCAGCCACTTGGGCCAGCTCCTCCAGGGGAATCCCAAGGTGTTCCCAGGCCAGCCGAGAAACATAGTCCCTCCAGCTTGTCTTGGGTCTTCCTCTGGGTCTCCTCCCAGTGGGACATGCCCAGAACACCTCACCAGGGAGGCGTCCAGGAGGCATCCTAACTAGATGCCTGAGCCACCTCAACTGGCTCCTCTCGATGTGGAGAAGCAGCAGCTCTACTCTGAATCCTTCCTGGATGACGGAGCTTCTCACCCTATCTCTAAAGGGAAGCCCAGACACCCTGCGGAGAAAACTAATTTTGGCCGCTTGTATCCGATATCTCGTTCTTTCGGTCACAACCCAAACCTCATGACCATAGATGATAAATGGTAAATGGTAAATGGACTGTACTTATATAGCACCTTTCTATCTTATTTCAAGAAACTCAAAGCGCTTTACACTACAATCTGTGCCCTCATTTACCCATTCATACAGCACTCTACTAGATCTCTACAAAGCAAATTGAACAAAGCATTCTAATGAGACTAATCAGAGCTTTATCATATTCATACACATCAGAGGCTATGAGGGGTTCAGTGTTTTGCCCAGGGACACTTCGACATGTGACTGCTGGTGGATTTGAAGCCCCCAACTCTTTCATTGGAGGATGACTGCTCTAATCACTCAGCCACAAATGAGGGTAGGAACGTAGATCGACCGGTAAATTGAGAGCTTCGCCTTTTGACTCAGCTCTCACTTCAACACTACAGACTGGTACAGCGCCCGCTTCACTGCCGACGCTGAATCTATCCTCCTATCGATCTCACGCTCTATTTTTTCCTCATTCGTGAACAAGACCCCGAGGTATTTTAACTCCTCCACTTGGGGCAGGACCTCTTCCCCAACCCGGAGAGGGCACTCTACCCTTTTCCGGCTCAAGACCATGACCTCAGATTTGGAGGAACTGATCCTCATCCCGGCTGCGTCACACTCGGTTGCAAACCGCTCCAACGAAAGCTGTAGATCACAAACTGACGAAGCCAATAGGACTACATCATCTGCAAAAAACAGAGAATTAATCCTAAGGCCACCAAAACAGATCCCCTCAACACCTTGGCTGCGCCTAGAAATTCTGTCCATAAAAGTTATGAACAGAATCGGTGACAAAGGGCAACCTTGGCAGAGTCCAACTCTCACTGGGAACGAGTCCGACTTACTGCCGGCAATGCGGACCAAGCTCTGACACAGGTCGTACAGGGACCTAACAGCCCATATCAAAGGCCTTGTACCCCATACTCCCAGAGTACCCCCCACAGGGCTCCCCGAGGGACGCGGTCAAATGTCTTCTCTAAGTCTACAAAGCACATGAATATTGGTTGGGCAAACTCCCTCGCACCCTCCAGGAACCTGCTGAAGGTGTAGAGGTGGTCCAGTGTTCCATGACCAGGACGAAAACTGCACTGCTCCTCCTGAAACACCACCATTTCCACTTTAATCTGTTAGCCCACTACTGTATATATTGTACAGATAATCTACTACCTACCGTTCATAAGTACTCACATACTTATATGTATATTTTTCTTTTATATAGTCTGTTTATACCTCTTATATTCATAACCTGTTCATAGTCTGTACACTCATAACCTGTATATATTATACTTATACTTATAGCATATTAAAAACAACTTAATGTATATTGTAATATACATACTTATATTTTTGCTGAGCACTTCTGAATGTATGCAAACTGCATTTTGTTGCTCTGTAGAATAGAATAGAATAGAATAGAATAGAATAGAATAGAATAGAATTCAACTTTATTGTCATTGCACATGTCACAAGCACAAAGTATTTTATTCTATTCTATTCTATACACTATGCTACAGTGGTGTATGCTGTTCAGTGTCAGGAGGGCTGTGATTAGTCGAACACTGGGGAAACTAAACAGCCAATGGCCAAAAGGATAGCCCAGCACAGAAGAGCAACATCATCATGCAGTTTACACTCATTTGCAAGCTAGTGGTCACTCTTTCAAGGAAGAAGATGTGAACATTCTTGCTGATTTGAGAGAGGAGTGAAGGAAGCTATCTTTGTGAAGAGAGTTTGTTCATCATTAAACAGGGGTGGAGGTCTCCATGTTCAACTGCCCCCCTCTTACAATGCTGTTACTGCTAGTATCACTCAGCCCTCTGTGAATAGCAAGTGGCCATCAGGACATTAACGACCATTTGTTAGGCTAATGGTCCTCCTTTATCATGTCAACAGCTAGTTCTGGATGTCACCAGCAAACTGGTTGATCCACTCTGAGAAGAGGTTATTTATAAGACTAAGTTTTGTGCAGCTCCTCGGACTGACAAAGTATTTTGGATAAAAGACAAAACATTTCAAAGAGAAGAATCTGTCCAAAAGACTAGATTTTTCTTTCTGGATTACTGAGCATGCATCAGGTTACCAAAAGCTTATTATTTCACAAAATACTGTTTTTTATTATTTCAAAAGATACCAGTGACTTGTAATAAAATATGAATTCAGTTGACTGTATTTGGCTATTGGACTTTTTTTGTTCTTTTGTATGCTGCCCTGAGAGTGCTATATAAACTAAATGAATTGAATTTACAATAGCACATTTAGGTCCATTTGAATTTGGCAAAGCTTTATTTTGTTTAGTGTGTTGCTTTTTTGGTACCTTTGTCTTAATGGAATCCAAAGAATCCAAAACTTTCTGAAGCCGGGGGTTGGCAGCACCAATCTGGATCAAAACACCACACACAATGTAAAATTCTTTAGTTCCTTCAGATGAAAAGTTTTTCAATTCTCCTGACAAAATTAAAGCATTAGGAACTTTAGCACCTCATGTTCTGCCTTGTCCACACAGGAAAGTTAATTTTCACAAATCAGTCATTTATTTGTTGCTTCCAAAATTAGCTCAATAAATACAGCACCATTTCTAGAAATGTCTTCAACCGTATGAAAATAAAAAGCATGACCTAAAATGTTGTAGCACCAATGCCAGACCTGAAGGTGGCAAAGTAATGCTTTCACAAAAAAACAAAACAAAAAAAAAAAAACAGGAAACAAGGCATGAAGCATGTTCAGCTTACATGTTGCATATTGACATAATACATATTATACTCTCTATGATTCAAACTGTAAACACAACAAGAGAAAAAAGACAAAGATGGCAAACACTTAAAAGAGCAACAACTGAATCATTTTTGTGGATCAACCTAGTCCAATTTCTGCTTGCTATCATGAAAAACTACAAGACCACAAAGTGCAGGACAGAGCTGACTGTCATGTCTGACCAAATACTAGCATATAATGAACATTTTTCAGGTTCAGATTCAGTGAAAGACAGCTGGAGGGTAGAGGTTTTCCTCTCTATATTTAAATTAAATCAATATAACTTCATTATATGTTGGTATTGTTTTATTAACCTCTGGGGGTCCTTTAACTTTGGGCCAATTAGTGTTTCTCATTGATAAAAATGACCACCTTATTTAACTGCTTAAAAAATATTAGTACTTAATATTAGGGATGGGGCCGATCCGATACCAGCATAATTTACGTATCAGATTTTTCCGATCCACGTGCCGATATTTCCGATCCATGATGCAAGTTGGCTTCAAACTATGGAATGGATTTCATGAACGGCGGCTTGTCTCATGAACCCAGAGTAATAAGACCCGCCTCACATTCAGGAAATCCATTTCATAGTTTGCAGCCAGGTACAACATAAGGGCTGAGTTAGCAGCACTGTGGCAAACAGCTAACAAACTTTTCATCTAAACATGTCGCTGTGTGGAAGTATTTTACACTAAAAACACCACAAAACAAGACAGCAACATGCAATGTCTGCAGAGCCATAGCACCACATTAAACCGCGGTAACGTTAGTTTTACGATGTACATTCGAGCTCCGTGGCTTCAGTGGGGCGCTACTCTCGCTGAATCCGAAAGAGGCGACTCGACCTCGGCCAGCTGCGTCCAATCTGCCCCGCTCAGTCTGCCCGTCTCTGAGGAGAGACATACTGAGCGTGGCTGCCCCAAATCAGGCTGCCTGCTTCGGATTGAACAAGAAGAAGACGTCGCTGAAACCATGAAGCTCTAATGTTTACAGAGAAGTTGCTAAACTTCATAATTAATGTCCAACTCCTATCAGTTTTAGAAAACGAAGGATTTCACAGTTTGATATTTGCATCCAAGATATAGTTTACCCTCCAGGATATATTTATCAGTACAACAGTAGACAATCATAAAAAAACATGATTTGAAAATTATATATATTAAAAACAAAAGACAATTTAATTCATTTATTCATTCATTTAAAAGAAACAAAAAAAAACAAAAAAAAAGAAAATATTGAATGAAAAGAGTGCAGAAAGAAGAAAATAATTCTTATATTTGCCCCTTATTTAAAAAAAATATAAAATAACATTAAACAATCACTTAAATTAATCACTTTAATATCCACTTTAAAGCTAGGAATAAAAAATAAACATGTTTTGTGTTAGCAGAATTTAATTCTAACTTTAAAACTTATCCAACATTAATAAAACTTACCTCAAGTTGCCTTTTTGGACATGCATGCATATATTTGTACAAATTGTACTTGAGAGGAGATTATTACAGTCTCATGTAAAATCAATGATGATGAAATCAGAACTGGATCATATTGGCCGATATTCAGACTTAGGTATCGGGATCGGATCAGAAGTAAAAAAAAAGTGGATCGGTGCATCCCTACTTAATATTGTTTTTCCACAAAAACTAGTACTGTTAGAAACTAAGAAAAAGTAAACTAGTACTGTGTGTTTCCTTGACTGATGAAGCCTTCTGTATCGAAGGCGAAACGTTTCAGCACAAAAAAAGAAACTGTCCAGATGACCTGACCGAAAAATGTTGGATTGTCTACCTGCATTATTGAGCATGGACTTTGTTGTTAGTACTGTTAGAGCTACCATAGCCTGAAATAAAATATCAATTTTTAAATACTTTCCTTTTTTTTTATTACTTTTTAAAGATCTTTTGTTTTTGTTTTTTAATCCACATTTCAGTATTTTTGAAAAATAAAATAAGATAAAGGACAAAACATTTATTTTATGGAAATAAAAAACATGTTTTTAAAGCATTTTCCCCATTTTGTATGTCTATTTTTCTTTTGACATTTAAAAAAAAATATATCAGTAAAGATCACCCCCCCCCACCCCATATTCTGCCCACCTAACCCTTTGGATCCCGTAGCTGAAAATAAGGCCTTGTTTCAGTCAAACCTACACATCGTTCAGTGGTTGAAATTACAGGGCTTTTTTTTTCTTATAAGCTTTTATTTCCTTCTTGTGCTCAATGCAAGTTTCTGTTTTGTTTTATTTTTTTTATTAATTTAATTATGTTCAAACATAAGGGTGCCCATAAGTGCACTTGGCATCAGGACGTCCTAAGTCGTAGATCAGTGATTGACTTTGTAGTTGTGTCATCTGATTTGCGGCAGTTTGTTTTGGACACTTGGATGAAGAGAGGAGCTGAGCTGTTAACTAATCACTACCTGGTAGTGAGTTGGATGAGATGATGGGGGAAGATGCCGGACAGACCCTGTAAACCCAAATGTGTAGTGAGGATTTGCTGGAAATGCCTGACAGAAGAAACCGGCAGAAAAATCTTCAGCTTGCACCTCTGGGAGAGCTTTAACCACATTCCAGCTGAGGTGGGGGACATTGAGTCCGAGTGTGCCATGTTATGCACTTCAATTGTTAATGTAGCTGCCTTGAGCTGTGGACGCAAGGTTGTCGGTGCTTCTCCTAGTGGTCAGCCTCAAATTCGGTGGTGGACACCCCAGGTTAGGGAGGCTGTCAAGCTAAAGAAGGAGTTCTATCAGGCTTTGTTGACTGGTGGGACTCGAGAGGCGGTTAAGGAGTACTGGACAGCCAAGTGGTCCACAGCCTTGGCTGTTACTGAGGCAAAAGCTCGGATGTGGGAGGAGTTCAGCGAGGCATTGGATAAAGACTCTCAGTAGGCTCTGAGGAGATTCTGGCAAACCATCAAGCGGATGAGGAGGGGAAAGCAGCACTTTACTAACACTGTGTTCAGTGAAGGTAGGGTGCTGTTGACCTCAACCAGTGATGTCGTTGGGAGGTGGGAGGAATACTTCTCAGACCTTCTCAATCCCACCAGCACATCTTCCATGGAGGAAGCGGAGTCAGGGGACTTCGGGGTTGGTCTGTCCGTAACAGTGGCTGAGGTCACAGAGGAAGTTTAAAAGCTCAGCAGCATCAGGGCTATGGGGATGGAAGGGATTCACCCTGATTTCCTTAAGACTCTGGTTGTTGTGGGGCTGTCTTGGTTGACACACCTTTGCAAAATCACATGGACATTGGGGCAGTGCTAGGGGGACAAGAGCATGTGCTCCATTTATAGGGGCATAACTCTCCATAGCCTCTAGTACCCCTGAATTAGGTCTATTCAGGGGTACTAGAGAAGAAAGCCCGATCATTGGTCGAACCTCAGATCCAGGAGGAACAATGTGGGTTCCGTTTTGGCCGTGGAATGCTGGACCAGCTCTTTACCCTCACAAGTGTCCTTGAGTGGTCATGGGAGATTGCCCATCCAGTCTACATGTGTTTTGTGAGTTCACCTCAGTGAATGAGAGGGTAGCCTCTCTCCACCTAGGTGTGGGGGGACGGGTTCTGACTGTCATTTGTGCTTATGTACCAAATAGCAGTTCAGATTACCCACCCTTTTTGGAGTCCTTGGAGGGGGTACTAGAGAGTGCACCTTCTGTGGACTCCCTTGTTCTGCTGGAGGACTTCAACGCTCACGTGGGCAATGACAGTAAGACCTTGAAGGGTGTGGTTGGGAGGAACGTGCCCCCCCCGGTCTGAACCCGAGTGGTGTTCTGTTGTTGGACTTCGGTGCTCATCATGGATTGTCCATAATGAACACCATGTTCAAGCATAAGGGTGTGCATATGTGCTCTTTGTACCAGGACACCATAGGCCGCAGTTCAAGCAACTTTGTTGTTGTCTCATCTGATCTGCAGCTGCATGTTTTGGACACTCAGGTGAAGTGAGTGGCGGAGCTGTCCACTGACCACTACCTGGTGGTCACTTGACTCCAATGGTGGGGGAGGATGCCAGTCAGACCTGACAGGCCCAAACGTATTGTGAGGGTCTGCTGAGAACATCTGGCAGAGCCTCCCTTGAGATTGAGTTTTAACTCCCACCTCCGGGAGAACTTCGAACATGTTCCGGGGGAGGTAGGAGACATTGAGTCCGAGTGAGACATGTTCCATGCCTCTATTGTCGAGGCAGCTTACCAGAGCTGTGGCTACAAGGTTGTTGATGCCTGTCACGGCGGGAACCCTCGAACCCGGTGGTGGACACTGGCGGTGAGGGATGCTGTCAGGCTGAAGAAGGAGTCCTATCGGGTCTATTTGGCCTGTGGGACCCCAGAAGCAGCTGATGGGTACCGGCAGTCCAAGCGGCATGCGGCTCGGGTGGTCGCTGAGGCAAAAACTCGGGCATGGGAGGAGTTCAGAGAGGCCATGGAGAATGACTTCCCTACGGCTTCGAGGCGATTCTGGTCCACCCCGGCATCTCAGGGGGAAAGCAGCACACCACCAACTCGTTTAGTCCATGTTGATCTGGGTCCTATAACCAAACATCTGACTGAGACAGCAACCAACCTAGGTGTGAGGTTGGACAATGATTTTAAACTGGATGCTCAGATTAAATCTGTGGTCAAGTCCAGCTTTTATCATCTGAGACAACTGGCCAAGGTGAAACCATTCCTGTCAAAACATCATTTTGAGATTTTAATCCATGCTTTCATCACAACTCGTCTGGACTATTGCAATTCACTTTATGTGGGCCTGAGCCAGTCATTACTGACTCAACTTCAGCTGGTTCAGAATGCTGCTGCTCGTCTTTTAACTGGCACCAGAAAATGAGAACACATCACCCCTGTCCTAAAATCACTACACCGGCTCCCAGTTCGTTTCTGGATTAATTTTAAGGTTCTTTTGTTTGTATTCAAATGTCTTCATGGTCTCGCCCCACAGTATCTGTCTGACCTTCTCCAGCCGTACAATCCCTCACGCTCTCTTAGGTCAGTTG